AGACGTGGGGGTGGGTGCCTATAATCCCAGCTACCAGGGAGGCTGAGGCACGAGAATCGCTTGAACCTAGGAGATGGAGGTTGCAGTGAGTGGAGATCACGCCACTGCACTCCAGCCTGGGCAACAGAGGGAGACTCTGTCTCAAAAATAAAAATCAAATCAAATATTTTAAGTTTGGTCCTTTTCTCCTTTCTTTCAAGAAAGGCTTTTTGGATACCTAGAATACCTTCATGTATGTGGCTTGATTTCGGTTTCAGGAGAAGTGGGGGCAGGAGGAGAGACTACACCTGTTTTCCAGAGTCTGTCCTGAGATGTCACTGAGTTCAGACACTTGAGCTGCATGTGCCCTGCAGATGACAAAGGCTGGCAGCTCAGCACACGTGCGGGAGGGGTTAAAGCCAATACTGAGTTTTTGTTGTTGTTTTAATCTGAACAATTATTCTCCTGTAAAAATAATTTGGGAGGGGCGGGTGTTGTTCTGTGTGTGTGTGTGTGTGTGTGTGTGTATGTGAGTGTGTTATCTTTTTTTTTTTTCTTACAGTGGCTGCCTGTCTAAAGTATTTTTCACAACATGTTTGATAATCAGTGCTTTAAAAAGCAGTGGTATCCTATAAAGTGGAAATGTCAGTTCTAGAGCATTGGATGTGAAGTTCCGGTCGTGTCACCTTGCGTGTCCCGCCCTGGAGGAGTGAAGGTGTGCGCCCCGGTGGGGGTGTGGCTGCACCCCAGCACCGGGAGGGGGCACGCATGACACCAGAGGAAGGAACAGCCCCACCCATGTCAACAGCAGGCGGCCTGTGTTTTCATTTCAAATGGGATACAGTATTTTTTTAATAAGGAGCCATACTTTTTTTTAAGAGTTTGAGATCTGAATGTGATTTCTAATTGTATCAGACGTTAATGTTTTAAAGCTATAACAAAGTTTAAAATTTCTACTTTTTGTTTTTCATTTATTTTAACTGTTCTTTTATCTATTAAATTGTTGTATGTGGATGGGGAAGTTTTGTTTCTCCTCTTAGCATTTGTTTCTATAACCAGAAATAAAATTCTATATTAAAGAAATGATCCTGAGGCTCCGGCATGGTCCTTGTACACAGGTGGCTGCTGAAGGCGGTGGACGGACAGACGGCCTGGACACACAGGCTCCTGGCCCCTTGGACACACGGGCTCCGGACGCCCTGGACACATGGGCACCTGGTTCCCTGCTCCGGAGGCTGAAGGGCAGCTGCTGCTAAGGGAAGTTGCCCATAGGTCCTTGGTATCCTGTTCCTGGCTCACACAGGAGATACTTCTGCAGGTGCCTGTGGCTCCTGGACTCGGTGACCACCCACCGAGAGTGTTCTCAGCGAGGAAGTTTGCAGCTCCAGGAATGTGAAGACAACGTGTGTCTCCCCTCAGACATGGCAAAGGCAGAAACCAGCTGAGCCAACCCCCTGCTCCTGGCACATGCCCAAAGCCTGGCTGGGGGGCACTTGTAGGTACTTGTCACTGCCCCAGTGGCTCCTGGGCAACCGTGGGTCCCTCCTGCTGGCCCTTGGCTAGATGAGAATTTCTACCCGTGTACAAGATGGGTAGAAATGTATATGGGAAGAAGTTATCCCAGGCCTTGCTTATTGTAGGTGTGGGGCCCGGGGCGTGGGGATGGCATTGACTTTGGAACTACACAGACCTGGGTTCAAGTTCCTACTGTGTCCTCACCAGCTGTGGGACTTCAGCCTGCAATGCGCTGCACGTCTTCATGTGCCGCACAGGCACCCCCACCCCACAGGCCTGGCGCCCTGAAGCTCAGCTGCGATACAATCAGCCTCTGTCTCTTCTGAGAGTTCCCCCAGACTTATGAGACCCTTGGGTGTGTCTGTGTGACGACTTCCGACGGGAGACTTAACAGCGGTGCGTGCTTGTCACACGTCTATCTTCTGTCAAGGTTCTGTAGTGTTTGCGTGTGACTCACTCAGCTGAATAACTTGCATTTTTGCGATTATACAGTTGCCCGCAGTTGCAGCTAAAGTTTGACTGCTTCTCTGTCTTCCTTCCAGTTACTCCATTTCCATTGTAAGAATCTAATATAACTTTAACAGATTAGTTCTAGTTTAGGATGTCAGCCCAGGCTGGGCGCATTGGCTCACACCTGTAATCCCAACACTTTGGGAGGCCAAGGCAGGTGGATCATTTCAAGTCAGCAGTTCAAGACCAGCCTGGACAACATGGTAAAACCCCGTCTCTACTAAAAAAAAAAATACAAAACATTAACCAGGCATGGTGGCGTGCACCTGTAATCCCAGTTACCCGGGAGGCTGAGGCAGGAGAATCGCTTAAACCCAGGAGGTGGAGGTTGCAGTGAGCTGAGATCACGCCACTGCACTCCAGGGTGGGGGACAGAGCTAGACTCAGTCTCAAAAAAAAAAAACAAAACTATCAGCCCAACAGCAGGCATGAGTGAGAGGTGTAACCTTCCTCCAGGGAGCTGCGCTGGCTAATTATTAATTGCATCGTTTTTAAGGTGTTGTAGTTGTGTTTGTTTGTTTGCTTGCTTGTTTAGAGACAGGGTCTTGCTATGTTGCCCAGGCTGGTCTTGAACTGGGCTCAAGCGATCCTCCTGCCTCGACCTCCCAGTGTTTGGATTACAGGCATGAGCCACCATATCTGGCCTTTTTTGCTTTTGATTAGGACAACCATTTTTCACTAGTGAGACCTTAAAATGACATTGGACACTAATGTAAATATTTTGCAAGAAACAAGTCAAATATTACCCCTGGTAAAATCGCCTGGGTTGTGTCTGTGTGGAGAGAGAGAGAGAGACAGAGATTGAGATTCCCGGCACATAGTTAGAATCTCAGTTAAACTTAGCTGCCCTATGAACCTGGGTATCTACACAACAAAGAGGGGTGCATCTCTCAGAACCCCAGAAGACATACAATTATGCACTGCAGCTCTATTCATTATTGTCAAAATCTGGAAACCAACCAAATATTCATGGATGAACAAGAAAAGCTAAGTACGGTATGATTCCATTTGCATGAAGTATAAAAAGAGGCAAAACTAATCTCTGGTGAGAAGAGACTAGCAGTTACTTCTGGGGGAGGGGAGTGTGCATTGACTGGGAGGGGGCCACAGGGGGACCTCTGGGGAGCTGGAAATGGTCTAGATCTTGAATTCAAGCCATGGCAAGAGTATTTACACCACAGAAATTATGAAACACAAATCACCCCCCGACTCCCCACCACCGCCCATGGAGCCGAGGCTTAAGACATTTGCCAATTTACCACTGGTTTCTAGAAATGTAAAAAATCGAGTTCATTTAAGGTTTGCGCGCTTTGGTGTGGACGTTTTACCCTAGTAAACGTTAAACACTGGCAGTAGGCTTTCCATAGACTACCTGTCACCAGTTTTCCTTTGCCAACCTTCAACTTGCAGCTCCAGAGGCACCCGCCGCACTCCACCGACTCCCATCCACTGCTCACCATCCACCAACTCCCATGTCTTCATCCTCTGCACCAGGTGCTCTCAGACATCACTGGGCGCCCTAAGGCATCTCAAAGTCATAGGTGGAGCTCCTGCAGGAAGCCCTCCCTCCCTCCTCCTTCCTTCCATCCAGGTGTCTTCTCGGGGCTTATCCCTTCAAGGTCTAACCTTGACGCACCCTATCTACGGAACACTGATTCCCACCCCCTACCCTATTCCCCAGAACCTTCAGCAGTACCTAGCACAGATAGGACTCAATCATCGCTTGTCCACTGAATGACTGACTTGGCACAAATTTCCTCGTCCTTTTCTGCCCCAGACAGACACCCCACAAACATGAAGTTATCCTTGATTTTTTCCATTTTCTTCCTCCTTCCTGCAAATTCCTCAATCACAGGTCTTACAAATCCTACCTCTAAATGGTTACTGAATCTGCCTACCTTCGGGGCAACCTCCCTTCCCTGGACCACAACTACACCAGCCTCCTTTCTCCCTCCGGAGCTTCCCAATCCATTCTCTCCCCTGTGGCCAGAGGTCAGTTCCCCCCTGGGGTGCATTTAAGCCACAGGAAGCCGATCACTGTCCTAGGCCCGCCCCTCCCCACCCCTTGGTCTGGGCACCCTCTGGGCTCCTCTAGGCCACAGTCCCCGAAGCCTTCCTCCTCCGGTTGGACCCCCGCCCAGGTCAGGCTGTGACAGCGTTTATCATGACGCTGGCGTGTTGCCCTGTGTCCCCCTGCCGTCTGCAGGGTGGCAAACATCGCCAGGGCGCAGCACATCCTGGGCATCCAACACGTCTGTTAGAATGAACAGAAACTTCCCCTCTCTGAGCCTGTGGCCTCATCTGTAAAATAAAGTTCGCGAGATCCCATGAATATCGTGGAGATTGAATAAGGGATTTTTTGTTTTGTTTTCTTTTAAGCAGCAGGAAGAGCGGCGGGATGGGTGCTCAATAAATAGGAGCTCAAAAAATCCCCAAAATTGCCCAGAGCCGCGGCTATTCCCTGCAAACTGCCGTTCGCTGCTGGGCTCAGCCCAGAAGTGGCGGAGTTTGTGTCAGATTTTCAGGTCGTACTTAGCATAGGGACTCCCGCACCACAGAGCTGTTTACGAAACAGAAACCAGAACTGGGGCAGTGACACTTCAGGGCCAGCGATACCCTCTCCCAAGGCCCCAGGCGCCCAATATCCGCCGGAATGGTTTCCGGGGTCGAAGGGCGCCGGCGCTGCAGAGTACCGAGGTTCCAGGGTCGCGGAACTCCGCAGCTCCCAGGCGCCGACCCGGACCCCCAGCCAGGGCACCTACGCCCCGCCCCAGGGGCTCCACGCCAAAGCCCATTGGTCGGCAAACTGTCCCTCCTGTCCATGTGATGCGGCACGTGACGCAGCCACGTAAGGCCGCTGCGCTCACGTGATGCGGTCCCGGAAGTTGACCGGGCTGCAGTACTGCTGCGCTGCAGCTCGTGGAGTTTCTGCGGTTCGTGCGCGCCTGGTGGCGGTGGTGGCGGTGGTGGCGGTGGTGGCGGTGGCGGCGGCGGCGGTGGCGGCGGCGGCAGCGGCGCGATGTTCTCGGCAGGAGCGGAGAGTTTGCTCCACCAGGCCAGGTGCGGGGCAGCTGCGGCCCCGGTCCTCCTTCCCGCACCTCTCCCTAGGGGCACAGGGGGGTGGGTCTCACAGGGCAGGGGGGCCCGGTCGCCCGCCTTGCAGGAACCCGACTGGACCCGCCCTTGAGACTTGGGGATCGGAGGCAACACGGCGGCCAGGCGTGGGGTGAGGAGGTCGGGGAGGGTCATGGTGGGTCTCCGGAGGAGGTGACACCTGAGCGGAGTCTTGGTGAGCGAAACCAAGTGGGGTGGAACCCGGTCGACAGTGTAGTCAAAGGCTTGGCGGTGAGAACTCCGCGTCTGGAAGGAAATCGAGCATCCAGGAGCTTTCGTTGCCTCACAGTCAAGAACACAAAGTCACAGACAGCCCGGAGGGCTGCTTAGGAGTAAGGCTGTGTGCCAGGCTGGCAGCTGGAGGCCATCTGAGGGCTTTGGGGAACCGTGGGAGGGTTTTGTGACTTAGAAAGATCGCTCTTGGCCGGGCGCGGTGGCTCAAGCCTGTAATCCCAGCATTTTGGGAGGCCGAGACGGGCGGATCACGAGGTCAGGAGATCGAGACCATCCTGGCTAACACGGTGAAACCCCGTCTCTACTAAAAAATAACAAAAAGCTAGCTGGGCGAGGTGGTGGGCGCCTGTAGTCCCAGCTATTCGGGAGGCTGAGGCAGGAGAATGGCGTGAACCCGGGAGGCGGAGCTTGCAGTGAGCTGAGATCCGGCCACTGCACTCCAGCCCGGGCGACAGAGCAAGACTTCATCTCAAAAAAAAAAAAAAAAAGAAAGATCGCTCTTGGCACGGATGTATTTGCTAGGCTGAGAAATCACCCACCAGGCTGCTTCCAGGCTGGTTCCAGGCTGTCTCTGGGCTCCCACTAACGAGTGGGTAGCCCCTTCCTCACCAGCTAGCCAGTCATGGGGGAAAACAGTGTAGGCGAGGACTGAAAAGACTCACGGTCCACCAGACAGGCAAAGACTTCATACTGCATGTTTAAAAGAAGAAAATGCTGACCGGGCGCGGTGGCTCACGCATGTAATCCCAGCGCTTTGGGAGGCCGAGGCGGGCGGATCACCTGAGGTGAGGAGTTCGAGACCAGCCTGCCTAGCATGAGGAAATCACGTCTCTAGTAAAAATACAAAATTAGCCGGGCGTGGAGGTGGGCGCCTGTAATCCCAGCTACTCGGTAGGCTGAGGCAGGAGAATTGCTTGAACCCGGGAGGCGGAGGTTACAATGAGCTGAGATCCTTCCACTGCACTCCAGCCTAGGGAACAGAGGGAAACTCCGTCTCAATTAAAAAAAAAAAAAAATACAGTCAGAACTACAGCCCCTTGGTAAACGTAAATAAACTTGGTGAGGCTGAGGCAGGAGAATTGCATGAACCCAGGAGGCAGAGGCTGCAGTGAGCCAAGATGGTGCCACTGCACTCCAGGGTGGGTGATAGAGCAAGACTCTATGTTAAAACAAATAAGCAAACCTGGCTTCAGAGCTAGACCAATTGGTGGGAAAGATTCGGGTGGTTGAGAGTAAGTGAGGTCTTGAAGACAGGACAAAAATCTCTGATCCAAATAACCCTTAAAATTCCACTCATTAGGAAGGGGACTGGTGAATATGCAGCACCATCTCCCAGCAGCTCAACATAGGCAACCTTCCCTTCAATCCTGGACAGATATGCCATTCATGTGAATGTAGGGACTGTATGAAAATGAAAAATACTCGCATCTCAGCATGCAACATGTTCATCCCAAGGTCCTTGCCAAGAGACAAGGAAAAACACTCACTGAGAACTTCATTCCCAGTCACATTCTGCTCCAGGTCATAAACTTGTGACATGAAAGACAAAATGAATAGCCCTCACTCCCTCACTAGATATTTATTTTTCTTTATTTATTTTGAGACAGTCTCCCTCTGTGGCATAGGCTGGAGTTCAGTGGCGCAATCTCAGCTCACTGCAACCTCCGCCTCCCGGGTTCAAGCAATTCTCCTGCCTCAGCCTCCCAAGTAGCTGGGATTACAGGTACCCGCCACCACTCCTGGCTGATTTTTTGTAACTTCAGTAGAGATGGGGTTTTGCCACGTTGTCCAGGCTGGTCTCAGATTCCTGAACTTGGCCTCTCAAAGTGCTGGGATTACAGGCATGAGCCACCACACCCGGTCGAGCCACCACTATTTAAATACCTGTTCCTCTGCCTCCCTGGCTCGGTAGGTAGGCATTTTTGAGGATAGAGTGTGGTTGAATTTTCCTACGTAACATACATGAGTTCTGCAGTTGCCCTCTGTTAGGGTTTCAAGAAGGCTAGTAATCTATCAGGGCTTACCAGTTCTCACAATATACTTAAGCCTGTGATTTCTGGTGATGTTTTAAAATAAATGACTATAGTTTGAGGGTTAAGGTTTGGAGCAGACCAGGCATAGTGACTGGCCCACACCTGTAATCCGAACACTTTGGGAGGCCGAGTTAGGAGGATCGCTTGAGGCCAGGACTTTGAGACCAGCCTGGACAACATAGTGAGACCTGTCTCTACAAAACAGAATTTTAAAAAACTTAGCCAGGTGTGATGGCATGCACCCGTAGTCACAGCTACTCAGGAGGCTGAGACAGGAGAATCACTTGAGCCAAGGAGGTTGAGGCTGCAGTGAGCTATGATCGTGCCACTGCACTCCAGCTCGGGTGACAGAGGGAGACCCTGTCTCCAAGGAAAACCAAAAAGATTTGGAGTGAACTTGAGTTTCTCTGTAAATGTGTCAGAGATACGGAAAGCAAGCGTGGAAAAAGTGATCGAAGATGGCTCTGTAAGGTGAAGGATAAATGGAGAAAGCGGGAAGCGAGTGAAGGATGGGGGCATGGAGGGGTACCCATCAGGTCAGGGGTTTCCAGAAGGAAGAGCCGCAGACTGGAAGCTCAGGAGCTAGTGGGGCGTGTTTCAGGCAGAGGGTCCGTGCGAAGGGGGAGAAGCAAGAAAAACAGGACGTGGAGGCTGGAGAAGGAAGGCGGGGCCGGGGTCTTGTAGGCAGCCTTAGGGTCTGTAGGAGTTTGGATTTGAAAGCAGTGGGGAGCGATTGAAGGGTTTGGGTGGGTTGGCTTTTAGAGAGAAGCTTGGGATTTGGAGAATATGCTGAAGGGAATTAAATCGGGGTGAGGGGTTCCACCTTTCTGGGAAAGATTCTCCATTTTGTGTGTGTGTGTGTGTGTGTACATATATATGTATATGTACATATGTATACGTACATATGTGGCATATGTATGTATGTGTACACATATATACATATATATTTATAGAGATAGAGTCTTACTCTGTCACCCAGGCTGGAGTGCAGTGGCGCAATCTCAGCTCACTGCAGCCTAATCTTCTAGCTCAAGCAGTTCTCCCACCTCAGCCTTTCAAGTAGCTGGGACTACACCATGCCCAGTGAATTTTTTTTTATTCCTTTTTTTGTTTGTTTTTGAGACAGAGTTTCGCTCTTGTTGCCCAAGCTGGGGTGCAATGGCGTGATCTCAGCTCACTACAACCTCCCGGGTTCAAGCGATTCTTCTGCCTCCGCCTCCCGAGTAGCTGGGATTACAGGTGCCCGCCACCACACCTGGCTGTTTTTTTGTATTTTTAGTAGAAACAGGGTTTCTCCATGTTGCCCAGACTGGTCTCAAACTCCTGACCTCAGGTGATCTGCCCGCCTCGTCCTCCCAAAGTGCTGGAGTTACAGGTGTGAGCCACCATGTCTGGCCGAATTTTTTTAATTCTTTTGTAGAGATGGGGTATCACTGTTTTGCCATGGATGGTCTCAGACTTCTGGGCCCAAGTGAGCCTCCCACCTCAGCATCCCAAAGTGCTGGGATTATAGGTGGCCTGGGGAGGGCACAGCCACGTAGGGGGCCCTTCTCAGGGAGTCCCCAGAGTCCCCTGGCACAGCAGCCCCTTTGCACATTATCGGTTCTTTCTTTTAGACTGGGATAGAAACCTAAAAACAGGCTTTCATTTGGGACTGTATTTAGTATCTTACCTGTGGCTTACTAGAGAGATTTTTAAATTAAGCCAATTAGTTATTCGAGTAAAAAATTATAATGGGCTTACATTACAATATGTCATAACATTTGTTCTTTAATATATAAGATTTTATTCTCAGGCCAAGTGCAGTGGCTCACACCTGTAATCCCAGCACTTTGGGAGGCCGAGGTGGGCGGATCATGAGGTCAAGAGTTTGAGACCAGCCTGGCCAACATGGTGAAACCCTGTCTCTACTAAAAATGCAAAAATTAGCTGGGCATAGGCCTGGTGTGGTGGCTCACGCCTGTAATCCCAGCACTTTGGAAGGCCGAGGCGGGCGGCTCACGAGGTCGAGATCCAGACCATTCTGGCTAACATGGTGAAACTCTGTCTTTTCTAAAAATGCAAAAAATTAGCCGGGCGTTGTGGCCAGCACTTGTAGTCCCAGCTACTCTGGAGGCTGAGGCAGGAGAATGGCGTGAACCCAGGAGGCGGAGCTTGCAGTGAGCCGAGATCGCGCCACTGCACTCCAGCCTGGGCAACAGAGCGAGACTCCATCTGAAAAAAAAAAAAAAAAAATTAGCCAGGCGTGGTGGTGGGCACCTGTAATCCCAGCTACTCGGGAGGCTGAGGCAGGAGAATCGCTTGAACCCCAGAGGCAGAGGTTGCAGTGAGCCGAGATCGTGGCACTATACTCCAGCCTGGGTGACAGAGCCAGACTCCATCTCGGGGAAAGAAAAAAATGTATATATATTCTGGTTCCCATAAGCGGAAGGCTTATTGAAGACTTCTTTTGTAAAGCACCTTATTCTGGAGTAAATTTCCTATTCTTGCATGAGGCCCCTAAAAAGAATCGGTTTTAGTCCTTCTGCCCCTGGAATAGCAAAATCTAAGTGCGTGGGCCTCCGTGAGTGAGATTCGTCATAGTGCGCTGCAGCGACGGCTCGCAAAATCCTGGGGTGAGAGGAACCAGCTCGGGGAATCAGCGAATTTATCTGGACAGCCGTGAGCGGTGCAGCCGTGTTCCTCCCACACACTTGGCTTCTCTTTTCTGAAGAGGGATTTTCCCTGCTCCAGGAGTTATCCTGTTTTTGGTTCTGAGCAGTGAGTGCTTCTGGGTCCTAAGTCCTCTTCTTTGTTTAGGGAGATCCAGGACGAGGAGCTGAAGAAGTTCTGTTCCCGGATCAGTAAACTGCTGCAGGCGGAGGACTTGGGGCCGGACACCCTTGACTCCCTGCAGAGGCTCTTCCTCATCATCTCAGCCACGAAGTACAACCGGAGGTGAGTGCGGCCACGGCTCAGGTCGGCTCCTCACGCAGCGGCCCCAGGAGAACCTGGCCCGCGCCCAGCAGGTCGCTGCAGATGATCCTTGGGGGGTTGAGTCATTTGCCCACTTAAACCAGCGCTGAAGGTCCGTCCTCACGTAAAACGCTCTGTCCACTGGCCCAGGGGTGCCTGGCCAGGTGCTCTGGGGTGCGGGGTGCTCCTGCCACGGGTGTGACGTGTCACCGCCCCCCACGGGCATCTCACCTTCCAGGCTGGAGAAGACATGTGTAGACCTGCTGCAGGCCACTCTCGGCCTGGCCACGTGTCCCGAGCAGCTCCAGGTGCTTTGCGCCGCCATCCTGCGAGAGATGTCCCCCTCCGACAGCCTCAGCCTGGTCTGGGACCACACCCAGAACAGCCGGCAGCTGAACCTGGTGGCCTCCGTGCTCTTGGCCCAGGTAGCGCAGCAGTCACCAGCCCAGTTGGCCGTCCTGCCCCAGGGGTCCCGGGGCCTCGGGTGCAGCCAGCAGGCCGGCCTATGTCCCCTCACGGGCACCAACATGCTACATGGGCCTGCTGGGCTTGCGTACCCATTCCAGTCAACAGGGCATGCTCCAGCCTCAAGTGTGCCAGGCACTCAGCACCGACTTGTGTCTAGAAGAAGCAGACACCTGCCGGCTCCGGCGCCCCTGCTTCCTGTCTCCCCTGTTCCTTGGGAAGCAGCCATCCGGTGCTCTCTTGAAGACTCCGTGAGGGTACAGAGCCTGGGCTGCTCTGGTGACATTCCTAGACACGTGTAAGGGTGGCATTGGTGATGCTGATAGAGCAGCAGGCTTCAGCTCCCCGGGCCCCATTCCAGGAGTTTTCAGACCACAGGATTTGTTGGTGTAAGCGGAGCTCAGTAGAGGTGATGGAGTTCGGTTTCTCAGACACAACCTTGAGAGAGTGAGTCAGGGGAGGCTGGGCCTCCAGACCTTCTTTTTGGAGTTTTGCTTTGCTTTTTAGAAACAGGGTCTCCCTCTGCTGCCCATTCTAGAGTGCCATGGCGTGGTCAAAGCTCACTGCAGCCTCGACCTCCCTGGCTCAAGCAATTCTCCCGCCTCAGCCTCCTGAGTGGCTGGGATTACAGGCATGCATCACCACACCCACTAATGTTTGTATTTTTTGTAGGGTCCCACGGTCTCACTGTGTTGCCCAGGCTGGTCTCGATCTTCTGGGTAGCAGCCCTCCCTCCTCGGCCGGGAGTTTTTGCCAAGTCCATGTCCTCCCTCCCTCTGTGTGGTGAGCAGGCCTGGATGCTCGGCGTGGGGATCCAGGGGTTCACAGGCTGTCTGTGGGCATGGGTTGCCAGGGGTGCAGAGTCTGCTGGAAGGTTGCGGTGGAGCCGGGGTTTTCCCTCCGTTCCCAGCCTGCAGCGTCATGAGCCGCCTCCCGTGCTGGGGTGCAGCCTGCGGTTGCTTTAGTTCTGTGTGGGCGAGAGCTTGTGGGCCCCAGCGTACCCAGGGCGTCCTGGTTGGTGCCCAGTCCCCTCACCTCACAGAGCCCCTGCAGGCCACCTCCAGGCCTCCGAGATGACCCCGGTAATGCTGTGGTGGCTCCTCGCCTTTGGGACAAGATGACTCCGGCTCTTGTTCATTTCACCAGCCCTTTTCCTCATGCAACTCTCACTTTTTTTTAGTGGAAGATGATCTTGCAAAACTGCTGCCAGGCACCAGCGGTGCACCCCCCGCCAGGCACATGGCCTCCCAGCCACCAGGCGCCCTCCTCCCTCCCCTGATGGCCCTGCCCCTATGCTGGCTGTCTCTGGTGCTGCTCAGATGTTTCAGCATCTGGGTGTGCGGAGTGAGGCGGGCGGTTTAAAGACTGGGACTCCACACTGGAGGCCCCGCAGGACGGGGTGTCCTGTGGCTGTGACCAGGCCCATGGTGGCCACCATTGTGTTTTTAGCATTGAATCAGCCATGCCCCTACCCAGGCCCCCTCCAGCCTCAGCGAGGCAGCTCCCAGAGAAAGAGGCTGGAGGTGGAGCAGGCACCTTGTGGCCCTGGGTGGGCCTGGGCGTGACATCCTCCCTGCCACCTGCTGGACCGGGGTATCGGGGACCGATGCTTCTCAGGAGTGTCACACAGACTTCTGAAATTGGGGGAGCTGGTCTCCGGCACAGGCCAGTACCCCAGCGCTTGCCCTGTCTGATTTGAAGGGTGATAGAAATGAGGAGGTCAGTGCTGTGGGCCAGGGCGTGCTGCGAGCGCTGGAGAGCCGGCAGCCTGAGGGGCCCAGCCTCAGATACCTCCTCCCCATCATGGCCAAGGTCGTGGTCCTCAGCCCGGGCACCCTCCAGGAGGGTACGTGGGGCCCCTCCCAAGAGGCTCTTCGGGGTCTGCCTTCCCGGGTCTTTCCTTGAGGGCCCGTGGTGGGTTGGGAGTGGGGAGCGAGTTGGGGGCATGGGGAGGCCGAAGGACCTGGGACGTTGTAGGATTCTGTTTTCTGAGAAAAATCGGCCAGTATCCCAATGGCCCGGGCATCCATAGGATTTAACCTCACCTCCCCATGCCACTCTACCCACTGCAGACCAGGCCACCCTGCTCAGCAAGCGGCTGGTCGACTGGCTGCGCTACGCTAGCCTCCAGCAAGGGCTCCCGCACTCCAGCAGCTTCTTCTCCACACCCAGGGCCCGGCAGGTGAGCGCGTGAGGCCGGGACTGTTCCGGAACCGTGGGGAACAGAGTCACAGACAACCCCTTCCCGGGAGCTCCTGTGCCCACTGTGGCCAGCCCTGCCTAACAGGTCCCCGTCGGCACCTGTGCCCTCTCTGGCCAGCCCTGTCTAACAGGTCCCCATCGGCTCCTGCTGTCATTCCACAGGGTCCAGGACAAGCCTGCCTCTGCTGCAGGAGGCGCTTGGGTCAGGCGGGGCCGCAGCCACTGACCCGCGTGGCTCCGGGGGTCTGCGCGTGGGTTCACTCCCCGGGCCGGCGGAGAGGATGTGTGATGCGCGTCTGCCTGGGGTCAAGTGGGGACGGTGTTTTTACATCACACAGGGCGGGCCGCTGCCCGGGCTCACATGCAGGCAGCTTCCCCTCCACTTCCTGAGGAGCTCGTACTAAAGGCTGGCGTTTTTCCCAGCCTCGGCCCCTCCACCCACCCCCGCCTGTCCTTCCCGCAGCCGGGCCCCATCACCGAGATGGACGGGGCGGTGGCCACAGACTTCTTCACGGTGCTCTCCACCGGCCACCGCTTCACGGAGGACCAGTGGCTGAACGTGCAGGCCTTCTCCATGCTGCGGGCGTGGCTGCTGCACAGTGGCCCCGAGGGCCTGGGCACCCTGGACACAGGTGTGCTGGGGGTGGGCCGACGTCAGACAGCGGTGGAAGGCAGGCGCACTGTCGGTTGGGCGCGACGGGGACACAGGCGGAGGTGGGAGGGACACAGGTGTGCCCAGGACACAGCAGAGGTCAGGGCTGGGCAGTGCAGCCTGCTGACCTGGAGCTAACCCGAGAACACTCCCTGGCCAGCATCGTTGGGGCCCAGGGTCAGCACTGGGGATCCTCCAGTGTGAGGATCCTCTAGACACCTCATGACCCTCACGCAATGTGCAGAAGTCAGAGCCGCCGTTTTAAGGCCGGCTCCCTTAAGGTTGCTGGGGTGACGCCGGTGAGCTCCTCCCAGCTGCTCTGTGGACTTGTTGGGGAAGAAGCCTCAGCTACCCTGAAGGGTGGCCGTGATGGGGAAGCTGCTGGGTGGGTGGACGTCCCAAGACAATGACGCCTCACGTCCCCTGGGAGGGGCTGTGGCCTGTGCTCTCCTCCTGCTCTTCCAAGCAGGGCAGCGGGCATGTCCCAGCCCGGGAGCCACACATCGGCCTGCTGAGGTTCCCTCCTCCCGCAGATGACAGGTCAGAGCAGGAGGGCTCCACGCTGTCGGTGATCTCCGCCACCTCCTCCTCCGCCGGCCGCCTGCTGCCGCCCCGGGAGCGGCTTCGGGAGGTGGCCTTCGAGTACTGCCAGCGCCTCATTGAGCAGAGTAACCGACGTGAGTCCCCCGCCCAGGGCACTGGCCTCCACCTGCTCTGCAAGGTGACCTGAGGCTGCACATCTTCCCTGAGCTGCTGCTCCACAGAGCGGGATCCTGGGTGGCCGGTTTGGAGCAGGCCTGTTTTTGCTTCTGGGGTCAGCCCTGAGTGTTCTTCGGGCTCCACCCCAGCCCCCAGCCCGGCCCTGTCCCGCCTGGGCCCCTCAGCCTCAGTCCCACTCAAGTCCTCCTGGGGGCCTGTCCCACTGCTCTGCTCCTGGTCCTGCCTGGAGCTTCCAGGACACAAGCTGCCCCTCACTGGGCTGCTCCCAGGCTGAGACAGAGCCGGCTGACTTCTTCCCCTCCTTCCAGGGGCCCTGAGGAAGGGGGACTCCGACCTGCAGAAAGCTGTAAGTGGCTGGGGATGGGGGGATGGGAGGCAGTGACTCGGCCCTTCTGATGTGGCGTGTGTCCCACAGTGCCTGGTGGAGGCTGTGCTGGTGCTGGATGTGCTGTGCCGGCAGGACCCGTCCTTCCTGTACCGAAGCCTCTCCTGCCTGAAGGCCCTGCACGGGCGGGTGCGCGGGGACCCGGCCTCTGTGCGGGTGCTGCTGCCCCTCGCCCGCTTCTTCCTGAGCCACGGTGAGCCCGGGGCGGGGTGACGCTGACTCTCGGGGCTCTGCTCCTGCCTTTAGTTTTAGGATGGAATTTCCTCTTCCCCCTTTTTTTTTTTTTTTAATTGTGATTGAATAGAGACAGGGGTCTTGCTATGTTGCCCAGGCTGGTCTGGAACTCCTGGCCTCAAGCGATCCTCCTGCCTTGGCCTCCCAAAGTGCTGGGATTATGGGCATGAGCCACCGTGCCCAGCTCATATTTATTTTTTATGGATCACTGTGCTAGATGTTGGTAATTTTTAAACTTTTAAAATAGGGAAATAAACAGAAACTCTCTTTGCTGAGTCCCTAGCCTGGGAAACCCGAAAGTCTAGGAACCAGCACCTTCCAAAGAATGTGCCATAGTTTGTGTGACTCATGAGCTGACCGTGTTCCTGGGTGAGGGAGACTGAGTGCCGCTTCCCAAGCATCCCGGTGTAGGATGCCTCGGAGCCCTTGGTGTCCTGGAGAGCAGGCCCAAGACTCAGGGGCCCTAACCAGCCATAGAGAAGCACGGCCAGAATGAGGTCAAGCGTGCGTCCAGCAGACGTGCACCCTGACGGGCCCTGGTCTTGCAGGGGAGGCAGCTGCAGTGGACTCGGAAGCCGTCTACCAGCACCTGTTCACCAGGATCCCGTTGGAGCAGTTCCACAGCCCCATGCTGGCCTTTGAGTTCGTCCAGTTCTGCAGGGACAACCTCCACCTGTTCGGCGGGCACCTCAGCACCCTCAGATTGAGCTTCCCCAACCTCTTCAAGGTACATTTGGGCGTCCCTGGCTGCCAGGGTAGGGGCGCAAGTGCCTGGGACTCCTCCCCTCTTTCCAGCGGGGTTCAGGGTGAGTCCTGGCTGAGCATAGAGCCCTGTGAGTCCCGGGCCTGGAATGCAGGGTGCAGGGTGAGGTGGGGGTCCGGGGTGCCCATGCAGCATCACGTGAACAATGGTGCCGTCCAAGAACTCCCTTGTGGTTGTTTTGGGGAGGGGGGTAGTGCCACAAGATGGTGAGTTTGTTCTCACAGCACTGGGGCAGGGCTGCTGGCTAGTTGGATCCCTCTCCCAGGAGCCCTGCCTGGTGCCTTGGACCCTTGGGCCCTTGGGTGCCATTTGCCTTTTTTTTTATTTTTTTATTTTTTTTGAGATGGGGTCTTGCTCCTGTCACCCAGGCTGGATTGCAGTGGCTCAATCTCAGCTCACTGCAACCCCAGACTCCTGGGTTCAAGCAATTCTCCTGCCTCAGTCTCCCGAGTAGTTGAGATTACAGGCATCCACCAACATGTCCAGCTAATTTTTGGTATTTTAGTAGAGATGGGGTTTTGCCATGTTGGCCAGGCTGGTCTCGAACTCCTGACCTCAGATGATCCTCCCGCCTTGGCCTCCCAAAGTGCTAGGATTACAGGCATGAGCCACCGCACCCAGCCTGGTGCCATTTGCTTTTGAAATGTCTTTTGCAGCCTCACCTCGCTGTAAGGTCTTTTCAGCCCAGGTGGGGAATCCTTTTTCTAGAGAAAAACCAGGACAGTGGGAAATGATTGACCTGTTGGTACGAAAGTAGATACAGGCCGGGGGCGGTGGCTCACACCTGTGATCCCAGCACCTTGGGAGGCCAAGGTAGGAGGATCTTGAGGCCAGGAATTCAAGACCAGCCTGGGCAACACAGGGAGACCTCTTCTCTACAAAAAATAAACAGCCACACATGGTGGTGTGTGCCTGTAGTCCCAGCTGCTCAGGAGGCTGAGGTGGGAGGATCACTTGAGCCTGGAGGTTGAGGCTGCAGTGAGCTATGATTGTACCACTGCACTCCAGCCTGAGCGACAGAGCAAGACTCTGTCTCAAAAAAATCAAAAGCGGGAGGAGGCAAATGTAGAAGCCTTCCTGGGGACTGCAGGTCTGGGACAGCAGTGGGGCCCTGGCCAGCTGCTCCCTCTGCCGCCCGCTCCACAGCTCCGAGCCCTGTCCAAACCCCTGCGCTGTGCCCGCAGTTCCTGGCCTGGAACAGCCCACCCCTCACCTCCGAGTTTGTGGCGCTCCTCCCGGCCCTGGTGGACGCCGGAACGGCCCTGGAGATGCTGCATGCACTGCTGGACCTGCCCTGCTTGACGGCGGTGCTGGACCTGCAGCTCAGGTGGGCCCCTCACCCTCCGCCAGTGCTGCCTCTCCAGACAGCTGGTTCCACACACGGGGCCCCCTCCTCACTGCTCCTGACCCTACACTGGGGACCCTCCTCCCTCCTCACCAACACCTGACTAGTCCTCCCCTGCAAAGCCACCTCCGGGACAGGGCGTGTCTGTCACCCTTGGCAGCCCCTGCGCCCCGGAGTTCCTCACCTGTCTTCACACACAGGCCTGAAGCCTCCTGTGTCCCCAAGCCCTTCCCAGCACCCGAGGCGCTCTGATGTTAGGGACACCTGCCATGTGTCTCCTTGATGGGGGTGCCCCGGAGGGCAGGGGCCGCATTCCAGCCTGGCCTGGGGCATCTTTCCACGCAGGTCATCGCCGGCTCCATCCGAGAGGCCACTCTGGGACACCTCTCTCAGGGCCCCCAGCTGCCTGGAAGCCTTCCGGGACCCGAAGTTCCAGGGCCTTTTCCAATACCTGCTGCGCCCCAAGGCCAGCGGCGCCACCGAGAGGTAGGGGGCCCTTGGGCCAGGGGACCACCAGGGACTCAGAGAGCCAGGCTGCAGCCACTGGGGTGGGGCTCGCTGCTGGGCCCTGGGCTGAGGCCAGGGTGCTTTGTGCCCAGACAAGGCTGCGTCCCTGACCTGGGGAGCAACTGTCATCGCCACTGCAGAGGCCTTGCTTGTGCAACACAGGTCTGCCGGGTGCGGGGCCTGCTCTCAGCTCTCTGCTGCCCACATCAACCCTTACAAGCCTGCGGGTCGGCCCTGTGGGTGCTCCATTTTGCAGATGGAGAAACTGAGCCTGAGCCCAGAAAGCAGGAGGCCTGGGACCAGCCCACAGGCCTCTTGCCCTCGGCGCACATCAGCCTTTGCCCCAGTGGCTCTACTGTCCCGGGTGTGCTGACACCAGGGTTCTCCCCAAACCCAGGGGAGCAGGAGGTCCTGAGAGGCGATGAGCGAGGATGGGAGTGGGCTCAGCTGTGCAAGAGGGAGCAGTGGCAACGTGGCCCCGGCGCCTGGCCCTTGCCTGTGGTCACCAGGTAGGGGAGCGGGCGGCTCTTAACGGCTACGCCTGTGTTCTCAGGTTGGTGCCGCTCTACCAGCTGCTGCAGCCCATGGCCAGCTGCGCCCGTGTGGCCCAGTGTGCCGAGGCCGTGCCCACGCTGCTGCAGGCGTTCTTCTCAGCGGTGACCCAGGTGAGCTCGCCATCTGGGGCCCCCCATTCCCATGGGCCTCACACACAACCGAGGGGCAGGCCAGAGCCAGCACCGTGGGGTCCTCCTGAGCTCTGCAGAAGGCTCATCCCACCACACCTGCCATCCACAGCCACTCTGAGGGTCAGGGAGGCACAGGGACATGGCTGCACGGGCCACAGTCCCAGCAGGCCCCGGCCCCCGTCCCATCCCCTTCATCCCCACAGGCCCCGTCCCCCGTCCCTTCCCCTCCATCCCGGCAGGCCCCGTCCCCCGTCCCATTCCCTTCATCCCGGCAGGCCCCGGCCCCCATCCATCCCCTTCATCCCGGCAGGCCCCCTCCCCCGTCCCCACCCCTCCATCCCCGCAGGCCCCCAGCCCCCATCCATCCCCTTCATCCCGGAAGGCCCCG